ATTGTTTTATATATATATATATATATATATATATATATATATATATATATATATATATATATATATATATATTATATATATATATATAGTGAATGATGTTTATGATCCTATTTGATGGGTTTATATTACTATATGCAGAATAATTAAAACCAGACGCTGAATGCAGATGGACGTCGGTCGGTATAAATAATAATCCATCAACACACAAAAAGACCAAAATATTGTACTGTGACCCAATTCTCACCTCTAATAAATGCCGTTATGTAACCAGACAAAACAAATCAGAAATGATGAGTGGTGACTGTATATACAGTTTGGCATAGAGATAACTTTCTGTTTGCATTAAATGCATTGATTAGCCTGTTAAAATTTGACATTTTAAATTATATTAAAGGGGTGGTTCATTGCGATTTCTCTTTTTTAATGTTATTTAGTGTGTAATGTTGCTGTTTGAGCATAAACAATATGTGCAAAGATACGAAGCTGAAAGTTCAATGCAAACGTCTTTTAAAATTCTGGCAGTTTAATGCCTACAAAAATGGCTCGTAGGGACTACAAGAAGTTCCTTCCCGGGTTCGGGACATCACAAACCCAGATAAACCCCGCCCTCGGGAAAAGGCAACAAAGGGGGCGAGGCCATGTTGCGCTGCTTTAGAGAAGAGGAAGAGAAAACTAGGGGTACACGTAAAAATCTGTTCATATATGAATCGCGATTCTGTCTTCTAACGATTCTAATGGATTCACAAGTTTCAAAATCAATGTTCTAAAGCAACGGTTCTTAATACTGTTCCTTGTGTTCCCCTGCTCTGCATCTCTCTCTCTCTCTCTCTCTCTCTCTCTCTCTCTCATATTCAGCTCAGCTCCAACAATGAACTGTTCCAATTATATACTTATTTTCACATAGCTATGAGAAGCATTAAACATGGACGCGCATGCGGTTGCTGTATTGTATTAAAGCTTTAATCAGGGTAAAACCGTAGATTAAAAGCTAACATAAGCAGTAGCATTTACAACAGCATATCTAAAAGTATGAGACAACAAACAAAAAACATAGGCCTACCACTAAAAGCCATGCTTGCACAGGTTCTGCACAATCCTTTTCAATAATATCCTCTGTTTACAATACAACCGGAGCACATGCCACTGAGGTGACGGGCGGGACGTTTAGACACGCACTAGAGGCGGTTTAGCCAATCACAACACACTGGGCTAGTTAACCAATCAGAGCCCATCGCCTATTTCTGAGGGCGGGGCTTCATAAAAACAGGAAAATATCAGCCCGTTTCTCAGAGAAGAAACAGAACGGTGTGGAATAAAGGTAAATTATGTGATTTTAAACAAAGCATTAACACATGTTAGACTGCACCCCATAAACACAATCAAGCCTAGAAAAAACCCAGTGAACCACCCCTTTAAAATAATATATAAATTAAAGATGCGAAAGTTGGGTCAGTAAGTTTGTTTTTTATTTAGCAAGGATGCATTAAATTGATCAAAGGATATCTGAGGGAGGGGCTTCATAAAAACAGGAAAATATCAGCCCGTTTCTCAGAGAAGAAACAGAACGGTGTGGAATAAAGGTAAATTATGTGATTTTAAACAAAGCATTAACACATGTTAGACTGCACCCCATAAACACAATCAAGCCTAGAAAAAACCCAGTGAACCACCCCTTTAAAATAATATATAAATTAAAGATGCGAAAGTTGGGTCAGTAAGTTTGTTTTTTATTTAGCAAGGATGCATTAAATTGATCAAAGGATATCTATTATTTTTTAAACTTTATATTCATCAAAGAATTGTATCACAGTTTCCACAAAAATATGAAACTCTTTTCAAAATGTATAATGAGTAATGTTTTCTTGAGCACCAAATCAGCACATTAGAATGATTTCTGAAGGATCACATGACACTGAGGACTGGAGTAATGATGCTGAAAATTCAGCTTTGGGAAGAAATTACATTTTAAAATGGATTCAAATAGAAAACATTTATTTGAAATAGACATAATACTTCATAATATTGCTGTTTTTACTGTATTTTGATCCAATTAATGCAGCTTTGTTGAACAGAAGAGATTAAATAATCTTACTGACCCCAAACTTTTGAACGACAGTATATATCATTTTTTTTATTTAACAAGTATTTTCCACATGTCCCTCAACAGAAGTGTGCAAATAAGATGCCTGTTTTTTTTTTTATCCAACTCCTTTGCATTCGCTGCTTTTTGCACCTGAAAAGACTAAAAACTAAGACAACCTTTCTATCGAGCTTTTTCAAGTCACTACAGTACAATGGATGAGCTCATAACCACTACATTAACATGCATAAGCTCAGTAATTAGCATGCACATCCCTTGCTCATGCATCTACATCTACACGGACACAACACTGTTACGCCATGCAGACGTCACATAGCATATCAATCGGAGTACTTAAGATCAATTTGACATTTAATGGACCTTTACTAATATTTGGATGCCGTTTTGTGTTTTTCCCCCTCTGTTTGCGCAGATCATCTTGAAGTAAACCACAGAAGAGGAACGGGGTGTCAGGAAGCTGCTTTGAGAAACCCAAGAAGATCCCCGTGTAAATACGACCTGCCCTCACCTTTAGAACTACAGCAACCTGCATGCTAAAGTGTAAACACACAAAACACACACCATATACCTGTTATGCTTGCAAAAGTGACTCAACCGGTTTCTAACTTAAAAGATATAAAAACGAGACAAGAAAACATGTGTGTATATATATATATATATATATATACACATTTAATATATATAATGTACAGCAAGTTTCTTAGAGGCATAAGTGAGATTCATCCCAATGATCGGTCACCCATCAGATAATGTGTATTTTTCTCCCATGGTTGTTTTAAATACAAATGCACAATGAGTGGGCGACGAGCTAGAAAACACACACTCAAACAGTTTGCACTGTCGGAAATAGTGCTTAATAAGTGCTTGATTGTCTTGAACGGGAGGACATCTCCTGCAGAGTATGTCTTAAACATCCCCATGCACCCTCTAGATAGGGGAAAGAGGGGGTTTATTTCTTATTTTAATACACAAAAACACCGAATGTCAAACGGCGGACACAAAGAAGATTGTCTACTGGTCAGAATGCGCTCCTCTTCTTGGACTTGAGCTATCTTCGGAAACTATTAGAGAAGCTATTATTTCCAACTCTTCATCCCCAGTGGCCAAAGAAAGGTTTACAACGACACAAAGCGCATAACGGTTGAAAACCAGTCAGCGTCGGAAGTGCGAATGTGGCAAACCACGTGCCATGCAATCACTTTTCTGTCTGTGTCTCTGCTAAAGGACTGTGTTTTACTCCTTTCTTTTTTTGTTTTTAAATGGACACTGAATGATCTTGATGCACCCGTGGAAACACTGGCCATCAGGGAGTCGACTCTGGCTTCTATCCCGTGCCAAGGGCTTACATTAAACTGGAGAGCTGCTGTAAACAAACTCGTACACGAGACGGACTTCTCCAAAATGTCTGGGGCCTGTTTGTAGTCCCACTCACACAGTGCCCAGTGAGCAGAAATGACGATGACGTGGGGGAAACGTTGCAGTAGACTATCTTTGACACATTGTGAATGGAGGGTGCTGTGCTCTCGCCGATAATCCTGTTTTATTTGATAAACAGTAGAAGTGCCTAAAAAAAAAAATATTTTACACAGCAAGCATCTTAAGAAGATGATTTTATGTGGGGTTGGGGGTTATAAAACAATTTAAAGCAGAGCTCCTGAAATGATTTTGGACAGAAAAGAGACGAAAAACGAAACAAAACATGTAGTTAAATGCATTTCATGCACATCATGGTCTGTTTCATTACACAATATCGATGTTGCTAGAAATTGGAGCAAGATGGCATAGGCAGAATGTTTGTTTTGTTGTACGATGTTAGCTTTTATGCTTTCTTGGAGTAGTTGACATTGGAAATGTAAGGAACTTCGAGCTAAATGTCTGTAACACGCATGACGTTTTGAGTTTGGTAAACGATTGTCATTGCGGTGTTTTCTTAACTAGTTATGTTGAGTCTGAGGGCTGTCCTCCGTTAAAGAAATAGTTCACTCAAAAATAAAAAATTGCTGTTAATGTACTCTCCCTCAGACCATCCAAAATGTAGATCAGTTTCCTCATTGGAACAGATTTGGAGAAATTTAGCATTACATCACTTGCTCACCAATGGATCCTCTGCAGTGAATGGGTGCCGTCAGAATGAGAGTCCAAACAGATGATAAAAACATCACAATAATCCACAAGTAATCCACATGATGCCAGTCCATCAGTTAACATCTTGTGAAGCCAAAAGCTGTGTGTTTGGAAGAAACCAATCCATCATTAATGTGTTTTTAACTTCAAACTAATGCTTCTGGCTAAAATATTAGTCCTCTATCCATAATAACATTTTCTGCAGTGAAAAAGTCATCTCGTCTGAATCAGGAGAGAAATGCCCAGATCAAGCACCGTTTACAAGCCAAAACAGCTCTAAACAAATATGTGAGTGGATTTTGATGTGAGAGAACAACTGGACTTTTTCACTGGAGAAGGCAATTTTATGGATTATGGTATTTTAGCCGGAAGCAATGGTTTAAAGTTACAGTAAAACATCTTAATGATGGGTTTGTTTCTTAAAAACGTGCATGTTTTGGCTTCACAAGACATTAATTGATGGACTGGAGTCGTGTGGATTACTTGTGGGACTATTGTGATGTTTTTATCAGCTGTTTGGACTGTCATTTTGACGGCACCCATTCACTGCAGATAATCCGTTGGTGAGCGACTGATGTAATACTAAATCTGTTCCCATCACGAAACAAACTCTTCTACATCCTGGATGGCCTGGATGGAGTATATTTTCAGTTAATTTTCATTTTTTGGGTGAACTACTACTTTAACAATGAGTCTGTCGTTTTCTTAGTATAGCAAAACATTTAACAGCATCATTTAGTTTTTATTTGGATGGTGTTTTACCTGGAATAGTGCACACAGCCTTCTTTTCCTCCCTGATTTGAGATGGGTGAAGCGTGTGTATGCACATGCCTGAATGCATGTTTGAGTGTGTTATTGATCCAATCAGAACCATCATGTATTTTCATGGTGCTTGATTAACACAGGCAATCCACAGAGAGACGTTTGGTTTTGCAGGAATATGGCACTGGTCTTAGCATTTGTTTTTGTTTTTTTAGAATTTTTTTGTTTGTTTTTTCCCTTTAGGTTTTTTTTTTTTTTTTTTGTCGCAAAAGTTACAGTTTTAATGTAATTTTTGATGTGGAAAGTGATTTAAATAGATTTTATTGTCATTCTGTTCATTCTTTTTTGTTTTTTGTTGTTGTTTTGTTGAATACTAGAACACAGAACAATGGTGTAACCTATTTTAAAAATGAATGTAATTTATTAAGCTGGGCTTAGCTACGCGCGGTTGTCCTCGGCCAATCAGGAGCCGGTTCTAGATCTCTCGTTCGGGACGTCACGCCGTAGCGCAAGCGAGGCTATAGAACTGCTTGTGTTATGTAAAAATGTTTATTGTATAGGTAAAGTTTTACCAATAAAAAAAAAAAAAAGTAAAATAGAAAAAAGTAAAAATAAAATAAAATGTAATAATAATAATAAAATACAAAACTCTGTAGTATGATAGTTATTTCATAATAATATTAAGTTGTTGCTGTGGCAACGTAAAAGTTGCGAATACTAAATTTTGGTATTTTTGTAAATGATGTAATTGTTAAGTTGATTTTTTTTCTTTACGTTTGTTCTTTTGGTTTTTTTCCTAGGGCACTGTAAAACATTAGATCGTAAAGCAGATATTGCAACATTTCCTATTTTATGTCAAGATTATATTACCAGGAGATTTTTCGGTAGCATTTAATGGCCTCTTTATTGGTGTAACATTTAAGATGGCAGTAAATACTCACCAGTTACAATAGTGTGACGTAACTTAAGAAACTTCTAGTGTTGGGTTAACCCACGCCCCTTCCCCATTTTAGATTGACAAAGGATCTCAAGTACTTGTGAAGATCGTTTTCTATATTATTTATGAAAGTTGTCCTGGTTTGTTCAACAGCTTGAATGAGTCAACGATTGCACTTTGATTTCATGTAACTGTAGGGTGTTCATTTCAAAGACTGATGCACAGTGAATATGGTATGGCAACACAAATAATGACCGTTGTTTTATTGCTTTAGTTAAACCAGAGAACTAAATACTCCGTATGCATCTTGCATGGTATTTTATGTCAAATTAAGAAGTTATTTTCAATTTAATCTGAGAGAAAAAAAAGAGATATATTGAATGTTTCTATCTACACTATAGGAAAAAAAACCTGCACATGTGATGAAAGCAACAGTTGTACTTAATTTGGGATTTCTTACACCCCAAACCAAATGTACAGTTGTGGGACAAAAAACAAACAAACAAAAAAAAGTTGACTGATGGTGAAAAAAAGCACTTTCGAATCAGTTGATATACTGAGCAGACACAGCGTATCCAAACACTTTGCCTTACCTTTAGTCCATTGTTTTTAAGCTTTTGTGTTTCAGAGCTATTAATATGTACTAGGGTGTCAACAGAACTTACTTCTCACCTCCATTTATATATGAACATACTATACCTATAACTAAGACATGTAAGAGTTTATTATTATTATTGTCACTGAGAGACCAAAAGGTTTGACGTTGTTGATGCTTTTCAATGACCTTTCCTGTTTGTGACGAGATGCTGTTCTCAAGGGATTGTGGGTATTTTACGCTGTGCTGCTTGACTTCCATCAGTAATGCAGTAGCCCATCGACACACACACATACACATGTGTTCAGAGATCATACGAGAAGAAAATTATAAACCAAGCCCTCTTTGGATAATATTAGTTTTCATGTAATCCTTTTAAATGTTTTATTTGTGCATATATATATTATGTGCTATTTTATGTCATATAGTCAAATGTTTTTGGTTCCAGAAAAATAGTGTAAAATCTATTGAGAAAATGAATAAAGAAAGAAAAAAAGGACAGATGTGTTTTTTCAATGCTTGATTGTGTTTCATTTGCGTGATTGTGTGTGAAACTACAGTGCTTTTGGGATTCTACCATGGTATTTTAACCAAGCCAAGTTTCCGTCCTTTTTTTGCACTGCTGTTATTGACCAGTGACATTATAGTTTTTATTAATATTTTGATTTAGATTTTACATTTACTGTCTTCATTGTCATTTTTTGTTAAAGTTTTAGTAATTTTTTTTAATGTTTTTATTATTGTTAATTTCACTTTTATTTTAGTATTTAAAGTAACAATGAAACTAAGAAATGACACCTTGGCAAATAGCTGAAATAAAAAGATAAGTTAACATATCTTTTAATTTTATTTAGGTTATCTGTGTTATTTTTTTTTATGGTTTTAGTTTCATTAACTATAATAATCCTGCTATCGACAAAGTGAAATGCATTTGAAAAAAGAAAGCAAAGTCTCCAGACTGTTCCCAATTATCTTTTACTGATAAAATGGTGTGTAAAGATGAAACTATGATATATGAATATGGTTATCTTTCAGTATAATAGTATTATCTTACCATGGTATTCTTTGAATAATTTAAAACTGATCTTGTATTAGTTGTGCAAGTGTACTGTACAATCAATTTAGTCAGACTGTATAAGTTATTAGTTCTCATGTTTTAAATGAATATTCAATGCAATGATTGATATTAATATTATTATGATACATTTTTGATGCTTTTATAGGCATTTTTGAAGCTTGAAAAGCTCAGTACATTTATTGTAATTGCATGCAAAACAATGACCAGCTAAATCCAATTTGTGTTTCACAGAAGAATGAAAACATACAGGTATGAAAAGACATGATGAACAAATAATGGCTGATTTTTCATTTTTGGCTGAGCTAGTCCTTAAATCGTTGCATTTTGTTGTAATGTTTAATTTCATTTTGATTCATTAGGATAATTTACTGTTCTTTGTACAATACTTTTTTGGATTTATACCCAGTGAACTGCTGATGCATAATAGATATGATTTACCACTGTTGTAACTCAAGCCAGGTTCATGTCTACTGGTGCTTTCTAAAGAAAGCTGTAGGCCCTGACATGTGGAGATGGATCATTTATTTAGAGGTAAGAACTGCACAACACATATTCCTCTGTATGTGACTGTAGATTACATAAAGACATGCTTAAAAAGCATGTATGAATTGCATTGTATTCAGTAACAATATAAGTAAAAGTGGCATTTATTTTAAACAAAGACGGCACTCTATTCAAGCAAAACATTTGGTAAGTTTCAAATAAACAATATATGCAGTGTTGAAAATGAAGACCTGTGTGACTTAAAATGGAAGTGGAAAGAAACTATCCTGCAGATATAGACGATCGATCTAATGAACGGCGGTCACATATTTAGGTATCGTACTTTAATGAACCACTGCAGACTTATAGCCTCCATCAGCGCACACAATGGCCGCATCCCTGTTGCTTTCTATTTCAGGTGCTGATGCAGGCGACGCACTGTTGCCATAGGAACAGCATCATTTATTGACACTCTCCCTGCCGCCGCCTCTCATTGGTCGTTCAAATGGAGCTGTAACTATTCGCGTCGCAGTTAAAAGCGGAAGTCCCACTCACCACATTGACCATTACCTTATTAATCCAAGCAGGCGTGGCTTACCGTTCCTCCTCCGCGCGCATTGAGCGCTCAGCGCATCAATCCCGCTATAAAACTCCTATTCTTGGGCTGAGACTGTGTGGTCTGGCTTCAGAAGGTCTCCACCCGAGGGTATGGCGGTTGAGGATCCTGGAAGATGCAGAATAGCTATTCTGGAATGCAGCAGCGTCCTAAGCATCCCCAAATGACGCTCGGAGGGGACGCGTGATGCCTTATATGCTCGTCTTGACGGGACGCGAGGCGCTTTTTATAACCTAAAATGTACGCATATACATCGGGCAGGCTTTTAAAATATTATTTCTTCAAGCAGCTGTTGGGTTCCGGCTATTCTAGGTGGTTAGAGATGCCATGAAGTCCGCGCAGTGGCTCTTTGTGCGTCTCTGTTATTTGTCTCTATGGTGAGTGTCGCAATACAGCCATGGCTCCGCGTCTGCTCGACTTCTGCAATATTCAAGGCAAGTTTCCCGTCGCATCTGATCGGCTTGGACACTGTTAGCTGGTTTCATTACGCGCGTCACGTCGGGTTCGGATCCGTGCGCAATGCGCGAATATAAGGTGGTGGTGCTCGGCAGCGGAGGGGTCGGGAAATCCGCTCTCACGGTCCAGTTCGTGACTGGGACCTTCATCGAGAAGTACGACCCGACTATCGAAGACTTCTACCGCAAGGAGATCGAGGTGGATTCGTCGCCGTCGGTGCTGGAGATCCTGGACACGGCCGGTACGGAACAGTTCGCGTCCATGCGGGATCTCTACATCAAGAACGGCCAGGGCTTCATCCTGGTCTACAGCCTGGTCAACCAGCAGAGCTTCCAAGATATAAAGCCCATGAGAGATCAGATCATCAGGGTGAAGAGGTAAGACAAATACTATGGCTAATATTACCACTGTATTCTTTGAGGTCAGCATGGTAATATTAGCACATACATAGTATTCTTTGAAGCGCATTGGAGTACCATGGCATTATGATGCTATAATTTACCATGCTGCCATCACAGTGGGGGTTTTTTCCAAGGCGAAAAAGCTTAAACTTATGGAAATGCAAGTTAGTACTGTTTTTTTGGACACATATCATGGTTATTATTAAAGTGTCTTAATATTATTAGCTTGTGCTAATATCACTGTACAATGGTTTTAGAAGTACTTTTTTTTTAAAGTCCATAACATATATTGTATTGAAGTTCCATGGCATTACCATAATTTTAATGCAGCTGAACACTGTTATTGAGGCTGTTACCATAATTTTACCATGGTACTGCCACAGTACTATTTGTAGATTCATGATGAAAAACAATCAACTTAAAAAATGTGACATTGTATTAGCATCTCATAATTTTACAAAAGTACTGCTAAGTAGAAATCTTTATTATAAATTACATTACTGTCACTTTTGTTCAATTTAATGTGTTTAATGTGTTAATTTAATGTGTATCGTGTTTTGTGATTATTTTTTATTTAATCTTGCTGTATAGTTATATATATATATATATATATATATATATATATATTGCGTTTATACAACAGTTCGACAGCACGAGTGTGTAAATTAAAAAAGAGACAACAACAGTGTCTTTAAAAACCATCTTTTGGTTTGTAAAATAAAACTTAAAAAATGATGGTATTAATGTTTTTGGACAAATACTGAAGTACCATGATATTAGCATCTGATACCATCATTTCACCATAGTACTGCCACAGTACTTTTACCACAGTAACACAGTGCTTTTGTTGTCAATTCAAGGTAAAAACAATAAACCTGCGGAAAATGATGGTATTACCATGTTTGTGGACATGTGACATGGTACATTTTAAAGTACCATGGTATTAACATCTGATTACCATGGTACTGCCACTGTAGTTTAAATTCGTGGTGAAAATAGCCCACTTAGGAAACCATGTTAATACCATGTTTTTGGACATATACCGTGGTATTAGCATCTAATAGCATAATTTGCCATGGTACCACCACAGTACTTTGTTTGTAAGTGTTATATGAATATGGTAATTATTCAGTATTGTAGTATATACTATATTAAAGAACCCTGGCATTACTGTAATTTTACTGTAACTGCCACAGTAAACTCAATCTGAAAAAAGCAGACAGTTTGGTTCCTCTAAATGAGCTGAACTTTCCGAGATTTGTAAGCAGATGGAAAGACTTGAGCGCGTGTGGAATAATATAATGGTGTGTCTTTAGTGTGACGTTAATAATAAGTCCAATGGGAGGCCGCGTCTATTCTAATCTTTCCATAATTTAACCTTAGGCCTAGAAACAGATGCTGTATTGTTTGTGTTTTTCCAGATCAACTCTTAAAAGGGGTTTGAACGCATTGCTTTCATAAACGAGATCTGCAGAACAATTAAAAACAGACCGAGGTAAAGCACACATAGACAAAAGATTCATCACTGTAGTGTCAAAACCTGAAAGGCCTGAATTATCATGTCAGAACCTTGAATCAAGCTCTTGAGTATGCACTTTTCTCATATTGTCTTGTGGCATTCGTCTGGTTCATTGTGACAAATACAGTAATTGTTGCATTTTTTGAATAGCAAAAGCACTCTTATGAACAGTAGTGCTAGTAAGGAGATGTGATGATGGCACACTAGCGGAGCGGTGAGTAATTGGCTACTTTACTACAGTAATCAAGTCATGACGCATCAAAGCTGCAAGTTGCCTGAAAATGTTTTCTTTAGTTTTTTTTTTGTCATATTTGCATGCAGTAATTTGACAATTTGTCATACAGAACAGCTTAAAAGTCTATGGAAACTTGCACTTAGACTGATTTGGTTCTGAACAGATATTTTATATAGCAAGAAGTAGGCCCATGTTTAGTTATTTCTGTACATGCATGTTGGGTTTATTTAGCAATTATGACGACTGCATTTATCCCTCTTATTTCTACTTACCAAATCTATGCAAGCCTGTTTCTGCCTTGGAATTAAAATAAATAAATAAATCCCACTATTCAGATTTAGATTTTCAGAATTGTGAGAAATAAACTCCCAATTCGGATTTTATTCTAAAATCTATGTTTACATCTGGCAATTTTGACTTTTTTTTTCTGAATTCCAAGTTTACATCGCACAATTCAGTTTTGTTTGTTTGTTTGTTTCCGCCACAGAATAAAGAATAAAAAAGTTTGTGACTTTTTGTCTCACGGTTCTTTCAAGGTTCAGAGAAACTCAGAATTGCAATTCTGACTTTTTTCTTTT